GGTGAAAATTGAAAATATTCCGGGATGTAATGACAGAGCCTTCATTGATCTGCAGCCTGGAACAAAAGTTTCCTTAGCCAGTTCCGGCCCGTATCTGCTGGAACCTTGTGATGTGGGAAACGACGGTAAGGAAGTTATTGATTTAACGAAGTTTGAAACACAAATCTTCCCTGGAGGATCATTTGAATATTATCCAAGTTTAAGCGATCTGAATAAAGCAACCAATCAGATTCTGAATCCAAACAGTTTTAGCTTTGATGCCAGCATACACACCAACGGAATTTTTGTAAAAGTGAAAAGTTCAGGTTTATGTCCTGCAGGCACCGTGATTAACGTAAAACTGAAAAAGACACCCGTTTTTGCGATTGCTGATCATTATTTCTGTCCATACGATGATTCGGTGGATATAAAACCGGATTTTACGGGTCTTAATCTTGTCGCTTATGAATGGAAAAATCCTGCGGGCGAAACCGTTTCGGTTACTCATGAGCTTTTAGGCGTGAACGTAACGGGAATTTATTCACTTAAAGTTACCGCAGCAAACGGATGTGATTTCACGGCTTCTTTTAATGTAAAACATTACGAAGTTCCGGTGATCACTCAGCTGGTACCGAACGGTAATACTTATACCGTATTAGCTACAGGAAGCAAGCCTATTTTGTATTCCATGGACGGACAGATCTGGCAGACCAGCAACGTATTTCCAAATCTGCCTAAAGGAGTCTTTACTTTCTACGTGAAATTTTTGGGAGAAGAATGCCTCGGGCTTCCTAAAAAAGGAGTAATGCTTGACATTCCGAATGCATTTACCCCAAATGCCGACGGGATTAATGATACCTGGGAAGTTGACGGGCTGGATGTATTTGATGGGGAAAAATCCAAAATCCAGGTCTTTAACCGCCAGCAGACATTAGTCTTCGAACAGCTGTCTTCGGATAAATTTATCTGGAACGGAAAATGGCTAAGCAGACCGGTTCCTACCGCAACCTACTGGTATATTATTACGCTTCCGGACGGCCGGGTTTTCAACGGATGGGTAGTGGTAAAAAACAGAAATTAGTAATCTGTTATTTGATAGATTAAATTGTCCATTGATCGTTGATCATTGCGATGAGGTAATATTTCCCCTGATATT